ACTCATAACTATACCTTTGATTATCTCTTTCCACTGGACCAAGGTCGAAAATGATGCAGTAAATTGCATGAAAATGATGATTACACTTGAAGGTGCTCAGCCTTAGCCCAAGTTTTTGACATCAATCCTTTTTATTTTTATTTCATTCCTTGGCAGTACGCTTGGGCAGGGGCTTCAAACAAGCACGTACCCGGCTGAAGTGATCTTTTCTATAGCATTGGCTGTACTTGGTCTCATCCTCTTTGCACTTCTTATTGGCAACATGCAGGTAACACCATACTTCATGTTATTGTTGAGAGCATTGGAGATCTGAAAGAGCTTTTGTTTCCTTTGTATAATAAAGATTTGTGTAACATTGGCTTGTGATGTCCATCTAATGCTTGGGACGGTCATTCATCGATCGAACGTGTAGATTATTCTACTGAATCTTGTCTTGAGTGTTGGTGTTCTTGTAGCTTGGGTCCACAAAAAGAACTCGACTTTTTAGAGGCTTAAGTACTTTGTTTAAATCGAGTATCTAGGAATTAAAATACGTGGCGTTTTCCTGCAACCAAAGGTAGGGGTCTTGTTCCATGGGGACGGCTTGGATGCTTGCTAGATCAGCCCCCAATGAAGAGATTTTGAGATCTCTTAATAATAAAAACTAAATTGGGTAAAATAATCGATAAGTGCTTACGAACTGAGCAACTCGAGACTACAGAATGTGGCTCGAAAAGTAGGATTAAAGCCCAAACATTCCGAAGTTTATCGAGGAGTTTTCGACTTACTAGTTCCAGAATAACTTGCTACCAAGAATATTGCTTCATTCTATCTAAGTGTGGTTGCTGTTTATATTTTGTGAGCTAATGCAATTATGGCTTCTGTTAATACTTTGTGAGCCGATGCAACTCGACCTAACCTTTTGGGCGGTTTGGCCGAAATGGCAATAGGATTTTTTACGATATGGCTTGGTATGTGGAAGAATCTGTGAAGTTTGTCTTATATATTATTTAGATGGAGTTCCTTGTCTGTTAAGACGAGTGCGGATCTTTGTATTAACCTCAATTGGCAAATTATGGGGGACGTATCGACTTCCTTGGACATGTCGATTTAGCCTTGTCACGTAGACGTTAAAGAACTGATGTTATGTTATTATGACAGACTTATCTTCAATCTCTAACCATAAGGCTTGAGGAAATGAGGGTGAAAAAGCGTGATTCGGAGCAATGGATGCATCATCGTTTGCTGCCACAGGAACTTCGGGAGAGAGTCAGGCGATATGATCAGTACAAGTGGTTGGAGACCCGTGGAGTCGACGAACAGAGTTTGGTTCAAACTCTCCCTAAGGATCTTAGGAGAGATATTAAGCGACATCTTTGTCTCGCTTTAGTAAGAAGGGTAAGGTTATTTCTTTGCGTCGTTACCTTTTATCGTTCGTTCGTTCTTATTATTATTTAGGCAGTAGTGAATTCTTAAGAATCGATATATTTTATTTTCCAATGCAACAACGTGAATAAGAGACTTTAAACTTCTGATCTCATGTTTGATGATACATGCTTAAACCAATTGAACTAAACTTAAGTTGACAAAAGGATGACATTTTCATATTCGCTGATGATTTTCAGGTTCCTCTGTTTGAAAGCATGGATGAGAGGCTGCTTGATGCTATTTGTGAGCGGCTAAAACCGTGTTTGTTTACAGAGTACACTTACATAGTTCGTGAGGGTGATCCAGTCGATGAGATGCTTTTCATTATACGTGGTCGGCTCGAGAGTGTGACTACTGATGGTGGGCGGAGCGGATTTTTCAATCGTACCTTTCTGAAAGAAGGTGATTTTTGTGGTGAAGAGCTTTTGACTTGGGCTCTTGACCCGAAATCTGGTTCGAATCTTCCATCTTCGACAAGGACGGTAAAGGCTATTACAGAGGTTGAGGCTTTCGCCCTCGTCGCTGAAGAGTTGAAATTCGTGGCCAGTCAGTTCAGGCGCCTTCACAGTAGACAGGTGCAACATACGTTTCGATTCTACTCGCAACAATGGAGGACATGGGCTGCTTGCTTCATCCAAGCGGCATGGCGCCGATACTCCAAGAGAAAGACTATGGAACTTCGTCAAAAGGAAGAAGTTGCAGCGGAGGAATCCGAGACATCTCAAACGACGACCACCACAAGCGGAGGAGGCTCTTACAGTATTCGTGCAACTTTCCTAGCTTCTAAATTTGCTGCCAATGCTCTCCGAGGCGTTCAGCGATATCGCAACGCAAAGAGCGCTCAGGAGTTGATAAAATTGCAGAAGCCTCCCGAACCAGATTTTAGCGCGGATGATGCCGATTGATGCGCGTTATATTTTGTGACCAAAAAAAACTGAATGCATTATATAATATGACTCATGTTTGATGAGATGAGCTAAACTAATGTAATATATAGTATGTATTTGTAGTTTGCAACTTTGTGTTGTTTACATTCTTTCATAGTGTCAAAATATGAGTGTTACAATAATGTGTTACCTTAGGTTAATTGTAAAATAATGTGTTTTTTCAAATTACTTCTCTTCGTTACGTCTTAACGTGCTTTTAATGAATCAATTTAGATCGTTCATGAGTGATTTATAACTATTAGAGCGGGATTTTTTTAAATCACTTATATTAATGAAATTTGTAATAGTTCAAGTTCACCGTCGGTAGATATTGTCTGTTTGAACTTTCCCTTCTGAGCTTCCTTTTAAGGTTTTAAAACGCGTTTGCTATGGGGCGGAGAGGTTTTCACACCCTTATAAATGGTGTTTCGTTCTCCTCCCCAACCTTCATTTTAAGATTTTAAAACGTGTTTGCTAGGAAGAGGTTTTCACACCCTTATAAATGGTGTTTCGATCTCCTCCCCAACCGACGTGGGATCTCACAATCTACTCTCTTTCGAGGTCCCGTGTTCGTTCTCCTCCCCAACCGATGTGGGATCTCACAATCCACCCTCCTTCGAGGTTCCGTCCCCTCGCTGGCACTCGTTCTCTTCCCCAATCGATGTGGGACCCCCCATTCTACCCCTTTCGGGGCCAGCGTCCTTCTTGACACACCACCTCCTCATATCCAATTTATTTAATTTCAACGTTCGTTAATTTTATAAAGAATCTTTTTATAAATCAAAATTATATAATAATGGTGGAAGAACTAAATCATTTCAACTAAAACTTGATGTTTATCTAGTGGACTTAAATTGATTCTAGTTCTAAAGTTTAATGGTATAAATTTTTTTGTTTTAGAATTTATTTTTTTTATTTTTTTTATTTTTTTTGAAGAGAGATACTATTTTTCGGTCGTCAACTTTTTTCGTGTTCCTTTCATATCGAAGCACTTATTCCTAAGATATAAAGCAAGATTTTAGAGGATCGCCTTGTGGTCCTTGTCCTTGTAGTGTTCCTCTCCGCTCTCATTTCTCGTCTCTCAGCTCCCTCTCTTCTCCGTCATTTTCTCCTCTCGAGAAAGTATTTGAGGATGTTGCAACAAAATTAGTTAACCGGGCAGGACAGAAACATATTTAGGGTTTAAGGTTTAGTTAATAGGTAGAAATCTCTCTACCGCCCGCTTAAGTGGGTCCCTTGGAACCACATTTATTATATATTTTATTTACCTTTTTCATATTTTAATTTTTTTAAAATAATTGGAATATATACTGAGTGCATTATTCCTAAAATTAGCTTTTATGCTTTTTATTACTTTGATTAAAAAAAGAATAAGAATAAATACTCAATTTTTAGGTCTCTTTCATAATTAAACAAAAAAAAAAGTTTTTTTTTTTTTTTTTAATAATCAATAATCATTCTACAAAAGTCAAATTATTTGAGTAAGTATTGAAAATATAACACTAAAAAGAAAAAAAAAATTAAATTTGCTCGTGGTCAATTCCTTCAAAATTGATTAAACCAGAATGGCTAAAAGTCAGAATATTTGTTAAAACCATCGCACCTAAATAGTGTTGAAGTTTCTCGGTTTATAATTATTTACCGAATCAAATAAATTACAAAGAATATCAAAAAAACAATAAAGAAAAAGAATAATAAATGGATAAAAGATATTTGTCTGTAATAACTGAGTAAACATGATACCTATGTTAAGCCGAAGATATTTGATTGTAATAAATGGTCAAATATGACACATGATAAACTATAATAAAGGGTGAAATATGATACATACAATTAATTATATATTTGCCTATAATAAAATGTCAAATATGATACATGGTAAAGATGTGGTTCCAAGAAATTTGAAATGTGAAGGAGGAAATAGGTAGGGTTTGGGAGCTAGGGACGGTAGAAAAATGAGTTTTATCAAATTGAATGTGGCGGGTCATGTATAGCTTAGTGGTGGTGGGATTAAGATGAAACCCTTTATGAGAGGGACTATAACCCAAGAAAATATAAGGAATGGTGCGGGAGAAAGTTTGTTCGGCATATAATTACGCAAGCAAGGATAAATACAACTAAAGGGATGAAAATTTTCATAATGCGGAGAGTAGTCATAGAGGAGTCCACACCTCCATCGCTTTGAAAAACGTTGATACGAGCAGAATTTCAAATTTTAATTTTAAAGGGTAAAGCTAAGTGAGTCGAGAATAATCGTCAATAAAAGTAACGTAATAAAGAAAATCTGAATTGGATTTGAAGGGGAAGGACCCAAAAGATGACAATGAATAAGATCTAACATGTGGGACTACCTACGTACATTGCGAGAATAAGGCAATCGATGACTTTTCACAAGTTGACAGGTACTACGTAATGATGAAGAAGACAATAAAGATGTAAGAAAAATGTGACCTTTTTATTTAAAAAAAAAAAAAAAATAGCAGAATAATTCACATGGCCAGCATGACATAAATCATACGAAGCACAAAAAGATTTGTTTCTAAAGACAAAAATGAAAGCAGAGTTGACGTGCTCCGACACATATAGTAAGAAAATTATTGGTAAAGGTACCGGAGAGAAAAATCAAACGTTAATTTACTAATTGAAAGAAGAATTTGAGTGAGATGAGGTAAAACTGAAACATCTAATAAGTGAATATTTGGAACAGGAGAAAGAGTACGAGTATGGGTAATGGGTAGGGATGCACCATTTCCTACAATCACAGAGTCCTTATCTGTGTAATTTTTTTTACTGGTCCAAAATAGATGGATCGGTAGTCATATGGGTTGAAGTCCCAGTGTCCAAAAACCAATGAGCAGCCTCGGGTCCAGCAATAGAACAGGAAGTGTTGAAGGCTTCAACAAGGTAAGCATGAGAAAAATCAGGTCGAACGTATCGTTGGTTGCAGCGGTCAGCATAATGGCCCTCCATGCGACATATTTGGCAGCAAGGTGGCCGACGACCCTGGCCAGAGTGGGTTCGTCCTCGATTGGAAGAGTTATTGTGTGAATGAGAACGATCTCGTTGGTGGCAAAAAGAATCAGTGTGACTTCCATGGGTGCGATCACGATTAGTGGTTGTGAATGTCGTAGGAGTTGAGTTAGAAGACTCAAGCGAGCGCTGAAACAACTCAAAACTTTCACCTTTAAAGATTAAATCTACAAAACAAGGGAGAGGGGTGAGAGCTACCCGAGTAATAGAAAAAGTTGAAAAATCAGTGTCGAGTCCATGAAGGAACTAGTGCACTTTATCAGTGTCCTCGAGTCCATAAATTGTTTTGAAGGTACGAGCATACTCACCAGCAAGTTTGGTGTCGCGTTTCATTAGCTGCAAGTTATTCTTGAATATCAATTCACGAGCTTTCGAATAATGGCTGAACGTAGTCTCCAACGCGAGCCAAACATCACGTGCAGTAGACAGACCAACGACAACAGCAATGGCTTCCTCAATGAGAGAAAAGAGTAGAAGACAAAGAAGTCGTTGATCAGCTGCATATTTGGTGCTGAGTGTTGAGGAGGTTTCTGGTTCAAAGCGAGGTGGTGAAACAATAGTTCCATCAATATAACCCAACATGTCTTGACTCTCAAGAGGAGGGAGAAGTTGACTTTTCCAAAGAAGATAATTGGAGGAAGAAAGTTTGATGGTGATTATATGGATTAGGAAGAAGATGAGAAGAGAATTTGGAAGCCATAGAGAAGAAATCGAAGGGGCTCTAATATCATGGAGTATATTAAAACCATCACACCCGCGGTAAAAGTTTTCTATTTATAATGAATCAAATAAATTACCAAAGATATGGAAAGAGCAGTAAATAGAAACTCGACCGAAGAGATTGCATTTTCCAAAGTCGAAACTTCCTTTAGATTAGTTGAAACGAGCTTCGGGTAAGGTCGTCATGTACTTTCCTTATAGTCCATAGAAATATCAACACATCCACTCTCCCTCTACAATAACACACCTGTTGAGACTTATCTTTCAAAATCGTAACATAACCTTAGCTTTACAGTTTCAGGCAAGGTTGATGTGCAGTACTTCTCCACACAGCCCCACGTACGCACACATGAACCCACTATGCAAACTTGTATGCGTACCCCTTAGCCTGACTTAGTTAGGCCCAACACATTACACGTCACTGGACACCACAGAAAAAGAAAAGCCCACAAACATAAAACTCGAATGTACACATCCATACTAGCATAACATAATAGAGAATATCCCGATGAAGATGACCTACATACATGCATTTGGTTCCTTAATAAAGACAGCGAGTGTTTGTCAATCTATTGTCCCATGCCAATAGATTGACAAATCTTCGAATGTCGAACAAAGGACTCCAAAAAGAAAAAAAAAAAGAGTCAAGCCTCCTCGAAGGCAGTAAAAAATAACTATGACTCCAAAGAAGTCGAGCCTCGATTAAGGAGAGGCGTACTTTGTTCGAGGGGAAGTATTGAATGAAAGTGTCCCTTGGTTAATTTAGGGAATGGTCATGGGTTTATAATCAAATAATACACTCTCCATTGGTATGAGGCCTTCTGGGGAAGTCCAAAGCAAAGCCATGAGAGCTTATGCTCAAAGTGGACAATATCATACCACTGTGGAGAGTCGTGTTCATCTAACAATAGTCACCCCTCGTAAAAGTTCATGGTTTTGCCAAAACCACTCGTGTATCTTCCACGAGAAACACAAGAAAAAAAAAAAACAACCCAAGACCAGAGAGAGAAGGACAACTCAGTAAAAAAAGAAAGTAAACTTTGGGATACTAGCTTGCATATCATATGAAACATCCACCAACTCAGCTAAGAAACGATAAACAAGCCTCAAACCAGTAAAAAAAAACATAAATAAAACCACAAATGCTGCTCATAACCTTTTATTCAGCTTGATCTCACAGTGCTGCCAAGCCATGAAAACTACTAGCATCCACAGTAGAGCACCGTTGAAATTCGACCTACCGACCTTTGCTGCTTAAGAAGCATTCTTCAGAACCCACTCGACTAGCGTGGCGACACCGAACCCTGTTGCTGTGCGCTTCTTGTCACTGAAGACGGGGCCAGCAACGTCAATGTGCATCCATTGGACCTTCTCATCAACAAACTACAGGAAACATATTTCCAAATGTAAGTCTTCTAAACCATAGAACGGTTCATAGGGAGTCGGAAGCAAGCGGAGTCTAATGCGGGTCAAACTAGTATTAGAGGATAATCTCATCTGCAGAGACATAGCAGGTTTCCTAAAGCTAGATAAGACATTATTTGGTTCGTATAAACATAAACGATCGATGAAAGCACGAAGAAAATGAAATGAAGAAGATGAAATTCACCTGTTTTAGAAACAGAGCAGCTGTAATGGCACCACCTGGGCGACCACCGGTGTTGAGCATGTCGGCCACACTTGACTTCATTGATTCCCAATAACTGTCCTCCAATGGCATTCTCCAAAGCTTCTCACCACTGGCTTCTGAAGCAGCCAGTACCTCTTTTGCCAGGTCATCACTGGGTGTAAAGATACCTGGAAACGAAAGGGAATTCCATATCGTCGATAAACGTTTTATTTCACACGAACCGAGTGATTACTACTAACATCATTGACTAAACAACAACCATCCTTTTGAAGTGAATAAATTTTATCAAAGGTAGAAATATTGCATCTTAAATCAAACCAATGAGAATAATGTTTCAGCGTATTACTCATCTTAGATATCATACAAGCTTGTTGACCCATTCAGTTTGACTCAGTTCGACAGTTTGACTCCTTATTTTCTATATCCATGTTTGTCCGAGCTAGCTTGTGTGCA